AAAGACACAAGAGTTTCTACTAACGTTAACTTTTCAATGTTGGTAACGATAAAACCCTTTTGAAGGAAAACCAAAGACATAAAACATCAGCCTGTGACATATTTACTCAGAAGAGTCCAGTGGTCTTCAACAAATTCTCGGGTCTGAAGCCCCCCAAAACTAGTTCTGAGAAAAGGAATCAAAGAAAGGCACTGGAGAATAAGGGACAGATAAGATATGATATGTGGAATTAGGTAATTATGTAAAGTTACTATAGAAGGGTGTGAGATACTGAGAAGAGACTATAGGCCTAGTAGAGATATCAAAAGAAAAGCAATTAGATACAAGAATTAAAAGTAGATTTCTGAAATGTATTCAGTTTACAGAGAACCTCGGACACAAAATTCAAGAACTATGGATCTAAATCTCATACCTCTGAATTAACAGTTAATTTGATTTCCAGCTTGTTCATGGGTCAAAGACTCACAGCACTTCTTCCTTTAGAACATAAATGTCAGAGATTAACCCCTTTTCATCAGGATTTCAGGAGGAACAAATAAACAGCAATGCACTGGGATACAATGAAATCAACTGATAAATGACACAGTTGCTTTCTGGCTCATGCTAGTCTCCCTAGAGAAACAGAAATGAGTGTCACCTTAAAAATAAAAGGGAGAAGAGGTGTACCCCCAAAAAACAGCATTCATGGGACACCTGTATGCAACGTGCTGGTGTCTGTGCTCTATCTGCACTGCCTCTTTAAACTGTTAGCCATGGGAGGATTTTCTGGAAGTCACAAGGCAGTAAATATAAGAACAGAAGCTAGCTTGCAGCGTTAGTTCATCCATTTGTTTATGATGCCACGTGCAAGTGATTATAGTGAGAAAGCACTTCTCAGATTTCACATCCAGCAAGTTGAACACTCAGTGGTATCTCTGAAACCCAAGTACCGACAGCCCTGGGCTTAACGCTGGAAACGTTTATAACATATCCTCAGTTTTGAGGCAGCAAGGTGCCCTGTGGTGAGCGCCCATGCACCTCAGTTCAAATCCCTCCTGAGCCTGGGGGGAAGACTCACACCTCTGAACTACAGATTCCTCACCAGTAACGTGGACTAATTGGAGCACAATCCTCCTTCGACTGTAGTGAGGATAACATGAGAATGTATGAACAGCTTTCAGCTTCTAGAAAGTGTTCTCTTACTGCTGCTTCCCTCACCCCTCCTCCACCTTTAACTTAAGAAGTGAGTTTTACCACGGTTTCTGCTCTTGCTTTTTTCCTGGTCCTCTGTTATCAGAGGCTGGCAATCACCTTTTCTACTGGCTATACTCTTCTCCATGTGGGTAAGAATTAAGCTCCTGCATAAAGAAGCCTCAGTTTTTTGAGTTTCTGTTTTGTTTTACTGTTGTTCCTTGTTACAATGTTTTTAATAAGGAAACGTTTCTTATACTCTGAAAAATCTGTATTGTGATAGGCATGGTGTTTAATGCACCAATTATTAGTGAGAATAAAGGACAAATGAAGAGCCTGTTCCAAAAATGAATTTCAGAGTCTCCCTCCAGGAGAGTCAGACGGGCTGTGTAGGTCTGGGGCAGGGCCAAGAAGCTGTAGTTCTAACAAGCACCCCTGTGGATGCTGAGTGCAGGTGGTTCCCACCACACAGTAAAACATGCTGATGTAATCAACTCAAAAATATTGACCTGCTGGAATATCACTTCCTAAAGGCTATAGCCTCTGTTAAAAAATAACATAAAATATCAGCACTAAATCTAAAAGATATAAGTATTCAGAATAACCCTAAAAACCCACCATATCACATATTCTAAGTCAAAAAATACTACTTTAGCATGTATGTGTACCTTAATACAGTAAAACATTAATAGCCACTACATAAACATTTATAAATATAACCATTTCCTCTTTTACTTCCACATTTCCTAGGTGCTACACTTGCATTTTGTCCCTCTACGTCTCTAGCCATTCAGGTACAGCTGCGAAATCTGGGTAAGGCACAGGTTGGAAAGGCCGCAGGAATCAATTCCTTGCTAAAGCACACTGGAGAAAAACCAAGGTGTAGGAATCTTCCAGAGGAGGGGACTCTCTGGGCAGAGTTCCCAGGAATGTTGCCAATGAACCCATGGAAATGCTTTTCCTTCTCTCCTTAGTCCCTTCCTGGATGGGTAAGAAAAATGCAGAAAGACACTAAGTCAAAACAGGAGACAGATAAGGAAAAATGCTGCCCAACTGTAACCTAGTCTTTGAGATCAAAGATAATGACCTATATAAAAAACAGAGAAGTGTTTCATACATGTTCTGTGTTATTTTAGGTGACAGACAGGAGACACAGAAGACACTCAAGCTCAGAAAACAAAGTTTCTTAAACTCCCAGGTCCTAGAAACAGGATGCACACATGGCATACCTAACAGGGCCATGTGGGAAAGAGCCAACACCCATGGGGCTACTTGTGAGAGTAGCAGAAGTGATGGGAGAGCCTAGGTGGTGGCTCTTATTGGAATTTCCAAGGGAAAGGCAAAGCAGGGCAGGGTCAACAGTTTATTGGCTAGAATAATTTCAGGGGGTTCTAAGCTATAGGAGTGGCCCTCCTTGCCTGGTGCCTGGACCTCAGATGATAAAAAGCAGAGGAATATTGCCTCCTGGGGATTAAGGGCCTGGTGGAGGAGGTCTGGTTCTGGGTTGGTTAATTTGCATGTCAATGGCACCCTCCAGGCTGTGCCCTTTGATCTCTAAGAATTAGCTAGCTCTGGAAGGGACAGTTTCTCCCCAGACAGAAAGGTTTTTAAGGTGTCCCACCACCACAATATACAGAAAATTTAAAATACATGCAATACAACAGAACTGGCTACTCACTTCCTGCTTACCAAGAGGAAATTTAGCAGCCTCTTTCTGAACCCCTACTGAAACCCCTCAGTGTCATCCCCAGGGAACCAGAGAGAGCAACTTAGGAGAAATCCACTTCCCAAACCCACTCAGTATGTTCAATGTGACACATTCACTCTCAGCTTATAATTGGGACTTGCAAAGCTCTGAAGGGTATAATCAAGGGGAAAGATGGTAGGAAGTATTTGCAAGGTGGAAATGAGACAGAGGCACCACATTGAGTTTTAATTGCCTAAAAAGCAACTCTCTAAAACTTCTGGGAAAACTTCTGAGGAAGAAAACAGGAAACGATTCAGCTTCAGAAATCATCTCTGAACTGGTTTTCAAGTAAGGGACAGCTGCAGTGTGAGGCAACACCTTCTCCCAAATAACCATACAAAGAGACAATAGTCTCTAGAAACAGTTGACAAGCATCAAACAACTAACTCTGCTTTTAAACATACATGTCTTATCCACCTCTTTCATGGATGCCAACAATATGAATTCCCTTAGATTCCACACTGAGAACAGAGACGCATACAGGTACTTAAAGCAGCCTGAGTTAGGATCTGTTTAAAACTAAGAATAACCAATTTTGGTGTGAGGCAGGCATTTTGCAATTCCCCTATGCTACCCTAGTTCAACCTATGTCCTCACGCACTCCTTCCCTATTACCCTCCCACATCCCCAAACATGGTGAAGAACTGGGGTACTCTCTTTTCTTTACAAATTATGCTTACTTCTCATCATTTAGAGTCTAACCTTACAAAATAATCAAGTCTGGTGAATGTGCAGGACAAGCTAATTAACAAGTAACAGCTAACACTTGCTAAGCATTTATTATTTGCCACCCTGTCAAGCATTTTACGTGCATTATCTCCTTGAATCCTTAGAATTCTAGGAACTAGGTACTATTACTATCTCCATTTTCCAGATAAGGAAATCGAGGCCCTGAGAGATTAAGTAGTTATAGCTGAAAGTCACATGGCTACGAAGCAGCAAAGTCCAAATTTAGACCCCAGCTGCCTAACTTGAGAGTCCAAGGTATAATGACTAAGTGCCAAAGGGATGAGGTAGTTTCCATGAATTCCTGATTAAAGCAGAAGGGCATGCTCCCTCTACGGAAGCTCGAGCAGCCTCCAATAGTCACAGTGCAGGGAAACATCAGGGCACAAGAAGGCACATTAAGGCATTCCAAACCTGCCAACACCCCAGCAGGTACTCACTCAGTCTTTCCATCTTCTAGGGCAGAAGTATTGACTTCACAAAGTGGGGTGTGGGTGTGTGTGTGTGTGTGTGTGTGTGTGTGTGTGTGTGTGTGTGTGTG